CTCACCCTCATAACCGTATACGTTTATCGATAAATTATTTTGTCTTTCTATCTTGGGTATCTGATCGACCGGTGTCGGAAAGTCAACGCCTTTAAAACTGAGTCCGTCGTCTTTGGTGTAAATCGACGGTCTGCTTTCGTTGATTTTATATTTAGGATTATTTCTTATTTGATTTTTTACTTTGTCTGTGTATAACCCCAAGGCAGATCTCAAACACCATCTCAAACACTCGTTGTCTTTGTTTTGTACGTTGATCATCGCCTGTTTAATTTTAAGATGTTCGGGTAGGTTTATGTAAGAACTACCTCTCGCTGGATTATATCTGTTGATGTTGATGTATAACGCGAGTATTGTATCGACTGCCCAACCCGATCCTTGATTCGTATACCTTTCATCCTTTTTGAATAGCTCTTCGATCTCCTCTTTTAAAACCTGTTTTATTTGACTTTGATTTAAAACGGCTTTCGGTTTGCTATAATGAATAGCTTCGATCGTTTCGATTGTACCATCCGGTTTGATTTTTCGATACCTTATTTTTAATACAAGCTCTACTTTTAAACCTCTGAGCTCTCTCAATTCAGACTTGATTTTATTGACTATTTGTTCCTTGTGCGAATCAAAAAACTTGATTAAATCGTGGTTATAAAGTCTGGGATTTAATTCCCAGTTTCTGTAGTAATTTCTAAACCTTCTCGTTTCTCTAAAAGCTGACTCTGTAAAGTATTCGGGTTGTCTGTATGTTTTAATCGCCGAGAGTAAATCTTTTTTCAAAACTCGTCCTTTATAACCCGTCGGTACGTATTCTAGATTTTGTTCGTCTACAATCTGTTTGAGCTCATAAAGTTTCTTTTTCCTCAAGTTTTTAAATTGACTTTCATAATTTTTTATCCCCTCGATGTAGACTTTACGAGTAAGAGAAACATTTTCATTGTGCGGTATATTATACCGCTGCACGTAATCACGCAGCGTAGCTTTGTTCCATTTAGAATATCCTTTGACGGTCGGTCTGAACATATTACTCTCCATTTTATTATAAGAAATATAATATTTTTTTTCTCATTTTTTTTTTGGAGGGCGATCAATTATTTCATAAACCATGAGAGCTTGACTGTAGTAAAAATTCCCAAGGTCACGTTGTGGTGACTCACATATTTTTCAAGGTCGCGTTGTTTACGCCAAATTTCTATCGTGCCTCAACACGTTTCAAGGTCACGTGGTGGTGACTCACATATTTTTCAAGGTCACGTGGTGGTGACATCACCTCATTTTAGCGATGACAGATTTTTTTTGTTTTTTCTCTCTCTCTCTCGGCGTCAGATTTGTTTTTTTTTTTTTTTTTTTTTTTTTTTTTTTTTTCTCCCAGCGTCAGATATTTTTTTTTTTTTTCTCTCTCTCTCTCTCTCTCTCCCGACGTCAGATTTTTTTTTTTTTTTTTTTTTTTTTTTTTTTTTGCTCTCTCTCTCTCTCCCGGCGTCAGATTTTTTTTTTTTTTTTTTTTTTCTCTCACACCCGGCGTCAGTTTTTTTTTTTTTTTTTTTTTTTTCCTCCCCCACACCCGGCGTCAGATTTTTTTTTTTTGAGATCGGGGGATTCCCCTATATTTTTCCCCAACTATTTTTAGAATCGAGAGCGGCGTGCTCAGGCTTGCCGCAGATTTTTTCCATTTTGCTCCGGTTCCCCCACCTCCCCTACTACTATTTGGTTCTTCGAGTGGCTTCTATGCAAAAGAGTAGTACCTCAGTGTACGTATATAAGTCTTAGCAAAAAAGAGAGGGTGACACAGAACCAATGCATTGCTGGCTGGAGTGGATTTAATCGACGTTTCGCGACAGTAAAACTGCTCTTCTTCAGGAATCAGGTTGGGTGCGTGTGTGTGTGTTGACTATTGTAGAAGTCTTATCTACATATTACATAAATCACAACTATAAACTCATCATTTACATTAGACGATAGCAGAGCTCTTGGATCGCCGCGTACTTCCGCTCTTTATTACTGAAGGCAAAGACTGCATGTTGCCCTTCAAATAACAAGATTACATTGTAATGTTGGTCACATTAAACCACTAACAAATCTTTTACAATACCAAGTCTCACATCTTTAATACATTTTGTTGTAGCAAGATAACACATCATCGGAAAACGCGACGTCAGGAAAAACACAGAGATGAGTGATAAAAATGCTCTGAAAACCTGTGGCCCAAAACAATCAATGCTTTCCTACTTCACCTTGATAATAAATCATGATGGCTAAATCATCTTGTTCTGTTTAAAATATTTTTTTCTTTAAACTATATTTTAGAAATCGAGTTATTACTTTGGAGTAAACGCTAGAAAAGGCCTTCATTATTTTCTCCAGAAACATTACGACCAACGTTCAGATCTCTATAAAAAAAGGACTTCCCGCTATACTGCGAACCGCGGGAAATGATTATAGAAAGATACATTCATTTCGATGCTGCATAAACGATGATACATAATGTTATATATTCAAATGGACAATACACGAACATAGATATATTTACAATAATGAACATTAACTAAATGGCAGCATCTAGGTCCGGGGTGAAGCATCAGCTTTTGTTTATTATCTCATTGATAAAAAAACACAATTCGTGTGGTCATAAACCTAGTTGTGCCGGTTAGTTTCGCAAGTGACGTAGGTTTTTCCGTCATGTAGATTTGTTGCCCAACAGACGACATCCAAAAATAAGCATAGAAACTGAGGCTGTCAGTGCTAAGCCACTGTATGAATTGAGGACCTTTCTTCTTCCTTTTTTATCCTCTCATCAAAAGACAGTACTCGACGGGCCCTCGACTTCACTACCAATTCAAAATTCCTCTATAGAGATGATTTTTGAGTTTTTACCTTATGCAGTTTGGTAACGATTGAACCTCTTGCATAATAAACAGCTGTTATTCGACTTTTAGGTTATTCACTTTTGTGCTTCTTTGACACGGAACGATATTGGTAAGAGTGTAGCATCTTTTTAATAATACCTCGGCAATTCAAAATTGTGTTGACAACTCTGCTTTGTCTCCGACTTGGCTTTCACCTGTGGCTCAAGAATCACTACATGTATAATGAAAACATCCAATAGGAAATACTCTTAAACATTGGGGTGATTGTAACGGATTGATATTCTTAAAGCAGAACATGAAAATCATTGAGCTGGAATCCCTCGAGCCAGTGGTATAGCTAACAATCTCCCGAAGCCAGGGGCGAAACAGAGGGTTAGAAAACCGTTCAGGATTGTCGATTGTTTCCAAGATGGCGTCGTCCATTCTACCTCATCCAGGGTCTGCTTTAGGCGATGACTCACAGCTTACCAATCACCCAGAGCTTTACCATTCCATCTCAAATGCATTGCAATAAGCGGACAATAATTCCCTAAGGATATATCATGCTTCATATAGTACGCAAGATGGCCTTTTAATCTCTCATTACAACTGAGTGGCATCGCACAGCCGTATCAATACCAAATCGATAAATTATTCAAAGACATATCGCGCGGCGGCTATTTTCTTGTAAAAGTTCACTTTGAATTATTTAAAAGGAAATCCAGATTGTATAGCTGGGAATTTTTGATAGGTCAGAATTGTCCATGGGGACTCTGATGTATTAGGCCAGTTGTTCTGCAATGTGAGAAGCCTTGGATTATTCCTGGAAAGGCATTTAGCAATTCTGAACAGTGATCTATTATACGTGTAAACTGATTTGTCGTTCTTATCATGAATATTTCACGATTCCGCTCAGACTGGTTAGATCCGGATTTTGCTTCATCTGCTGTTCATGGTGTGGTGATTTTTTTTTAATAGTTTGTATTTTTTGTAGATGTGTGTCTATGTGTTTGTGTTCTTCGTCATTTCGTTGAAATTATATTGTGATATTACTCTATTTCGTTGGGGGGGGGGCAACATCTCAATTTGAATTCATAAGGACTATATACTGTAGTCCTTAAAGGAACTTGTGTTGTACACAACTGACCCACAACATGTTAAACATCACCCGACGGCTGTTGTGTAATCACATTGGAAATGGTTCACTACTGTTTTTGACGGTGCGTGAATAACAAGAAAGGTGCGATGATAAAAATAGCCAGGGCGCCAAAGGCCAATACTCGCCCGATCACTTCATGCATGTAATAACCATGCGGACTTTTCCCCCGACCGACTGCAACTGCAACTATCCAGTAGCGCTGTCTGGGTTTTGTTTTCTCGCAGACCTCGAGATTTTCAGGGACGCGATAAGAAAAACAACTCAACTGGAATGAATTTAGTGGCAGTAACGAGTCTGCTTCGGTGTTGTATACATACAAAAATGATTTGTCATCTTCCGATGCAGCGAAATTTGATCGTCTCTCTCAAAGTAGAGATGCGCTACTTATCAGCTTTGTTTATATCATGGCTAGTGCAGGGCCGCCATTAATTGATGAAACCGAGGAGTGGTACTTCCCGTTATCTTACATGTTGACATTTGAGAAAAGACGGTTGGAAAAATCTGAATAAAAAGTATATTTTAAATTCGTCATTTGTTTTCTAATTTTCGTTCCTTGATATTTTGCCCAAAGGTTAGTAAAAAAACACTTCATTTATTTAAGGCGTTGGGAGATGAATAAGCGGCATGATGTAATACACACCAAATCTTCCTAAGTTCTCTTGGATTTTACCATTTTTTTTCGTTCAATTTGATATGTTCCAAGGACTTACAGTATTGCTATGTCTGAAATGTTAACGCCTTAGGTATTTGGCCTTTTCTTTTATGATGTCTTGTATGTTTTTTTGAAATCCAACACTTCATCTGAAGTAGAGCTCTTCTCTTTTTTTATTCCTACCCCGCCTTTTCGCCTACGAATGTTATTTGCTGGGTACTTCTTTTTTATCAATTGCGCGTGAACACAAACCTATTTTAATTGAAGCGAAATAATTTTCTTCTAGTATTTGTAGGGCCTAAGTTTGTTTCAAAAGGTGGATACTAATTTGTCACTTTTTTCCCCCGATCAGGTGCTAAGTACCCTAAAGCACGCCCTCCAGCCATGTATCAGCGATATCCGTCTGGATTGGAAGCTACCGTACGGAGTAGAAGTGCTTCAGTCTCCCACAGTCCACCCACCGATCTTCCAGGGCGAACCGCTGGTGGTCTACGGTCTCCTGTGCGATACCGTCCGCATGCATAGCACGCTGGCCTCGGTGCTTCTCAAGACGGCACGGAAGAATCCCTTCGTGGAGAAGGCTCTGTCCAGAGGATCAAGTAATGAGAAAGCTGAGGAGGATGCTTCGTCACCGACTAGACCCAAGTCAACAAGTGGAAGCCAGGAACAAGGTGAGAATGTCTTATTTTACATGCTACAAACATGGTTTGTGATATGTTGTACCCTTGGTGACGTCACTCGATAAGCACTGTCCGAAGCGCGCTTCATGAGCTACGATTGCGCCTGTTGTCGGCATGTGCCCACTTGTAGTTTTAATGTTGTAGACCAAGAAATGACTTTAGAATACCGAGACTCGAACGCGGCCTTACCCTCTTCAGATACCTCTGGTTCCGCTGCAAACCATACTGCCGCTGTAAGAGTCAGCCATTCTCATGATGAATCCACACATCTCTTCAGCTGAATATCCTCCATGTTGTCATTGGACTTTCACCACCGAGAAATTGTATTCTTATAAACGAATTTCAAAAACGTCGACGCCAAGGTCTCTTAAGGGGTGAACACTAAGAGCAAGTACTCGGAAGCTACTTGAAATGCTTCTTAACATTATCTTATTTTTTTCCATATTTTCACAGACGACGCTACGGCTGTAAATCAAGAAGTCTTGCCGCCCAAAAGTCAATCCAACGGCCTTACCCATCCCACGCCTTCTATGATTGAAGAGAATGATGTTGCTTTGCCTTCGTCGGTTGAGCATAGCCCTCGAAGAAAACTGTCTAATGTCGGCCAAACAGTAAGTACAATAACACCTTCCTATTCTTGATCCCAGGACTGTACCATGTCACAAGTCAATAACGAGTCGGTCACATTCAATCACAAGTCAATCACTCTCGATGATTATGAGTTGGTTAACCGGTCAGTCGCAGGTGATTCACACGTCGGGTCACAAGTCGGAACACAATTAGTCAGTCATAAATCAGACACGAGTCAATCACATGTCGTGTCATAAATCAATCAAAGTCAGTCGCAGGGGAGTTACGAGTCAGTCAAGTCAGCCAAAAGTCAGTCACAAGTTAGTCACGAGTCGATCACGAGTCAATCACGAGTCGATCTATAGTCAATCGCAAATGTGGGGAAAATGCAAAACTCATGCAGTTACTCGAGGTTTAACCCCGTGAAACCGTTTGTGTAATTTCTTATTCTACCTAAGTTCCTAAGATTAAGCTATCTAAAGCTTGTTCTTGTTCTTGTTCTTCGCTTCCCGTAACCGTTGACCTGACTTGTGATTTGACTTGTGATTGACCTGATATCGTGTTTTATCTTTGACAAACAAAAGTATATTGATTGTGCTTGCAACTTGTTTTACCCAAAGGCTCAAAAGCGCTATTTGGAACTCGCTGCCAAGCGGAATCGCACAGTGTCTGTTCCGGATAATCGCTTTGGGGGCGTGGCCGACCCTGTTGCTGTCCAGGCGATTCTGACGCGCCTGGAAGCGAACAATGAGCGCAGACAATCCGAGTCACAGCTCCACCCACTCTCAGCCAGAGCTCGCAAATTCTCGCCCGTCGTGAGAACTGAGGGCGGAAGCACGACTAGTTTCGACTTCGAGCCGTCCAGCCCAGCTTGGGATAACTTCATGGAGTCTGGTGACGGGGAGGAACTGTTCGATCAGGACGTTCAGATGTCGCTGAGTGACGCTGTGGTACTAGACGACGGAAATTTGGTAAAGAAAGCATCATTTTCTGTCTAAATGCAAATAACACTTAATTTCAATTTTGGCAATAAGTAGCGGTTTCAGGAAGATAAAACTCACTTGTTTTGCATAGCGATAAGTCTGCGATTGAGTGATTTTTTTTTCATTGAAGTTATTTTACTTTTATTTGTTTTCCATTTAATAACACATTACAGGTTGACATGACAACACGAACAGGGAAATGTGGCGTCACTGTGTCTGGCCTCTTCTGCGGTCGTCCAATATGCTGCGACGTCCCGTTCGACATATCAACGCTGGTGCGAGGTGAATGGGTTGGACCGTGCGGCGAGGAAGACGTCTGGGAAGAGACTATACATCAATTGGCGGCAAAGCGTTTGTTGCAAGATTTTGACGCGTTCTCCAGGCGTCTTGGACATGAAAATGGTCAGACACGTGTCTTTCTTTACACAAATACACGCCCAACACAATTTTGTTATGAGTCAATTCAACCCTAAAATCATTAAAATTAAAGATAAATTCGTAAACATTGCACCAACATTGGAATCCATTTCCTTGCTAAAAATATATTACCTTTTTCCATTTAACAATACAAGTTTTTTTTCTTCCAAATTACAAGGTACGATATATACGACACGTTATTGAGAAACAAATCCATATAAATAGAATTGTGTTTTTTTTTCGTTAGAAACTATTTGGTTCTGAAGAATTTAACATTTTACTCGCTTTCAAATTGTACACGTCAACAGACGCCCGTAGACTTGTACTAAACACCTGTTTTATGTTTGTCGATCCTTGGTCAACTTTAGGTGACAAGCGGAGTTTCTCTGACGCGACAGCCGAAGAACTGACTAAAACTCGTACCAAGATGTTGGAGGTGTCTCAAGCAGCTAATGTTATCTGTCGTCACACGGCATTCGTCTCTGTTGATCAAGAAACATTAGAACCGTTACCATCACCCATACAGGTAACTTGAGATGAAAGCGATAAGCTACGGTCTGCAAATCTAAGAACTTAGAACCTTGAAATACTATCATTCATTTCAAATGGAGATATGAAAACATTTACCATCGCCCATACAGGTAACTAGAGATTAAAGCGAATAGTTACGGTCTACAAAATCTAAGAACTTAGAACCTTGCCATACTATCATTCATTTCAAATGGAGATATGAAAATCTTTACCATCGCCCATATAGGTAACTAGAGATTAAAGCGGCTAGTTAAGGCCGGCAACTTTAAGAACTAAGAACCTTGAAATACTTTCAATCCTTTCAATAAGAGATATCAAAACATTTATCATCACCCATACAGGAAAAAGAGATTAGATTGGCCGTTTAAAGAGTTACTAAATAACGCCATTAACCTTGAAAAACTTGGGTTCACTTGAATAACACTTTTATGGGTAGGTGATTGCATCATTATTAATAAAGTCTTCAACTCAAAGGAAATCACAAGTCTTCGAAAGGTTTTGGTATCGCAATTAGCCAAACTTGTATATTTAAAATGACAGGTGTAATCGAGGACATTGGAGTACATTTCCCGACTATTTTAATATTTCCTGTTCTCAGGTGATCCAGCCTACGCCGCGAATCTCCAAGCCCGTCGGTAAACGATCCATCCGCTTTGGTTACAGCAAAGGATTAGGCCGACGGATATCAACGTCCTTTACTGACTCGGAGGAGGATGCCTTCTCATCAGGATTAGGTGATTGTCAATCCTTTGACATCCTCAATTTTTGTGTCAGTTTTCTCACGTTTTGCTCTTGGTATTTATTCAAACTTCAATCATTACAGTTAAGTTAAATGGTAGGCACACGGCACAATATTTCAAATGTAAAAGTTGGTATCCTTTTTTCGATTTTAAGCAAACTAAGATGTTTACAAAGATGCTAAGACCTGCTGGTTTACGAGTGTTTAAGTGAAATGATTTCAGTTCAACTGAGATGTTTGGACATGCACCTGCTTGCTAATTCGTTAGTCACCAGAGCTAAGACCTAGCGTAATTATTATATCTTTCGGTCGACGTTCAGTTCTAGTAATTTCCCACCAGCCTTGCACTATATGACTAAACTAACTCGGACTACTCAGAGTTAGATTTCCTCGCATTTTTTAAACTTCAATTTCCTGCTTCGAATGTTCCAGCCTCTTGGAAGGTTCCTGCAAATCCCAATGCATCCTAGATCATCATTGCTTAAATTAAGGTCCATGTAATGTAGGTTGTCGTTATTCTTACCTTTTGTTTAATTTTTTTCCAGGTCGATCTGACTCGATGAGTTCTAGTCAGTCTCAATCTCAGCCGTACTCCGCCTCTCATTCCTTGGATCTACCACACGCCGGAACCAATAGCCCTACCTGGTCATCTCATGACGTCCCTGAATGTGAGTTAAACGGTCGCTGAAAACAAATCTTGAATGTGTACTAAGAAGCTACAAATTGAATGCAACAATTAAATACTTTGTGACTGTTGAAATCAAGTCAATCAATAACAAAGTCACATGGTAGGTCAGTTGTAAGGTAACAGGTAACACATGGTGAACTATGACAATCAAGTAACATAGATGAATAATGACTCCGGATTGACTGGTGATTTTTTTAAGACAACTCTGTTTCTTGTAATAAGACAACGCTGACCATTTCACGTACTCCATCTTTTTATGTTATTTATCAGGGTCGTTTTCTGGATCTTTCTCAAACATCAACATCAGTAAGCCGAAACCATGGCAACTAGCAACCCGTCTAATCAAGCTTAGCAACAGACTCAGCACGATGCCGTCCAAGAGGCCTCTCTTCCGCGCAGTGGATATGATGGAAGGAGGTGGAAGAACCCTCAGCATGGAGACTGTGGAGCTGCATGCGTTGGTCAACCTACAACTGTCTAATGGATCCTGGGAACTAGACCAGGAGTTAGCAGAAGCCTTGGACATCCTGATGGAGAAGCTGAAGAAGGCATCTCCTCTCTGCATCCCGGCTGGTGACGAGGAGAGCGTCTTCGAAGCCGATGTGGAGACAACCACCAAAGGAGGAGCATCCAGTCCCAGCAACGTAGACACCGATGATGCCTACACCAGTCAGGACAAGGATAAAGACGAAGATGAGATGCTGATCAAAATAGTCGAGAGCCCCGTTGAGGGAGTAAAAACCGCAACTACTTTGCCGCAGTCCGACAGTGGATACCAGACCGTGAGGTCATGCTTCTCATCTCCTGATGAATCCGTTCTGGGTGCACTTACCATGACCTACTCTACGCGCCTTGAGTCATCGTTAACTGAGAGTAACGTGGGGAAGAGTGATGTCTGTAGTAACAGCAGTCCTGGGAGTAAACGTCTGGGATCAGATGACTCAGTTGGAGAAGTCTTAGAGAATAGACTCTGGGCTACTGTCCTGTCCCTTACCTGGCTGGAACACAATTGTTCTTCTTTCTTTAATGAATGGGAGCTGCTTGCCGCTAAGGCTGACCGATGGTTGAATGACCAGCGACTACCCAGAGGTTTCGATCTACCTGGCTTGAAGGCAGCTGCCTATCAAGTCATTGTGTTGTCAAGAAAGTAAATTAAAGAGGTCTTACACCTGTCTGAGTGCCATATACCTGTAGTATTAAAAAGGTTATACGAAGTTACATCTGAATATATCCGGAAGTTGACGCACCAAATAATGAATAAAAGTATGGTTCCAAAGATCTTTTGACTTTTCCGTCCATTATTTTGCCATTTTGAAAAAAAAAGTAAAGTTGGTTAGAACATTGCATTGGAAAAATCCTACTCGTTGGAAGACACAGAAAACCTGAAAAAAACCCAAAGCATACCAATTTGACAGATGTACTCTCTAAATTCCGAAGAGTGAAATTTCACTCCATTCGAGTGAAGATTCACTCCCACAGTCGGAAACTATGGACTAGACGTTTAAGAGTGAAATTTCTTGAATCGTAAAGATCGAGTTTTCAATCAAGCTTCGACTGAAGTGGTTCAATCGAAAATGAGAGTGAATTTCACTCGAAAACGTCTAGTCCCTAATTTCAGTCTTTGGAATTTAAAGAGTATTATTTAACTTTTCTTCACTGTTTTGAAAGCGGTTATTTAATAAGTCAGCACTGTACTCTTCGCATAAAGTAGATAATAATTTGTATGTAAAACGTTTTGTACCCGTTTAGGATATCCCTCAAAAAGTGTCTTCGTTCACTTTTAGCCCGCTTGGCATATCGCCAGCTTCTAACAGAAATGCAACTGAAAAAGAAGAAAAAAAACAGACTGAGAGAACTGCTTGATATAAAATAAAATGGAGAGGAAAGTTAAGACTAAAGGGGGTATCAGGAAGGCATGTGCCTTGAAATTAATTTTATTAGATGTGATTGGCGAGTAAGTTTGGAAAAATGGCCTTAAAGTGTAAAATGTTACAGAAAGTTTTCGAGGCCTTCGCTAAGTTATCAGCATAACTTATTATCAGCATTCCGAAGTGTGTTTAAATGTGTTTGTTCAATTTTCTCTGTCACAGTACATGAAAGAAATAAGTGTTGCATTTGGTGCCGTTTTTAAAGTATTAGCCGTCAATTCAAGGCGTTTGTGCTATTTTGTGAATCACTGTTAAACTTAGACGTCGCGTATGATTATTGTTAATGTTGCAAGTATCCCAGAATCCGTTGAAACGGGACGAATAAATTTAGGAAAAAATATACTAAGGCCTACTTGAAGGAATGTTTATTATAATTTTTTTGCAATTATATAAATTAAGAAAATTAAGAAAATACAGAACGTTGAATATCTGTCTTAAAGAGAGATACGGAATTGCCTTAAGAAACGGTTGATATGACTTTACTAAATAACTACTGCAAGATATAACAACTTCAGTCCTGAAGACGCCAAAGCGTTACGATATCGAGCCAGAATTAATATACATGATTAACAACTATATGTATTTATTAAATATATTTCTCCATTTATTTATGTGAACTTGTGAAGTATGCCAGCTGATCCAATGTTGGCAATTGTGAAAATGTGATCACGTGCTTTAAGTTATTCTGCAAGCTGAACACGTGACAAGTACTGCGATGGCGAGTCTTTCATTCATTTCTATGTTAAAAACAATCTTTTTTCAGATATTGTATATAATATTCACATTAATTCACATTGTAAATAATGAGTAGAAATACTTCATTAATTCTATTACTCTTGATGCCTTTGCGTGAACACGTGTCAGCGTATATAGGCAGTTCATGCCAGTACTATATAGTCTCATAGTCTAGACAGAAACTAAATGTGACTCAATAATTTATTTTTATGAATAAGATTAACGTACAGAGGCATTACCCGTGTACATATCACAAGAGGGCGCTGTGTAAAAAGAAGCATGATACGTTGCGGTAACGTAAATTATCTATTGCGAGTTGTTGGCAGCAACCGTTTTGTTTTGCTGACGGTTTTCATGACGCAAAAAGAATTGAGAGAAAAGGTGCCATAAATACCACCAATGTAAAACGTGGTTTCTCTAAGACGAGAATAGGCCTAAGTATAAATCTACGAAATGTTCCTGTAATGTAAATTGATGCCATTTAATTTTGCCTTTCAGATGTAAAACGGATGAAAAATTAATTTGCGGCTGAAAATTACGTCTTGAAGGTTCATGCATATGTAGACGTAATTTGAAGATATTTGGTTGCAAAGGTAATAGGTATCCCCAAATGCTTTAATTCAAGGGAAAGTTTACCTCGGGACATTTCTGAATAACAAAATCGAGCGAGAACATCTGGAATTGAATTAAAGAATATTTCGCGCCTCGGCAAATGCATGAATTCTGCTAAGCATAAGCTAAGCAGACAACTGCAATTAATTTAATGTTATTGCTTTGTACATGTACAAGTGTAAACTTTCTTTTTGTCAATGAAACAGTCCAGGTATTCTGGCCTTTATGTTCATTTCAGCTGCAATTGGTGTATTAACAGAATTTAACTTTTTTGATGTTTTGAAGCTGATGGTTTCGAAAACAGTATTAATGTATTCATCCTTGTACCAAGTTTCTTGACAATTTCTTGAAACGAATCACCAAAAGTTGAAAAGGGTAATTAATTTCGGTTTGGTATAATTCGATGAAAATTCCAAGTTTGACACATTATCTTTAATAATTACAAACGTTAGTCTAAATGTTCTTAACTTTATAATATCAATGGTATTAGACGTTACCACTCGGCCTATTCCGCAAAAAAAACGAAACGGTTCATTTGACCTCATCTGTGGCCGGAAATTTGTGGCTGAAGTCTAGCTTTTAAATTGATGTCTATCCTTGTATTTGTTGAGCTGAATGAATAAATTTAAATGTTCTCACCTAACGATGCTATAAATGCAAGTCCAATTTTCCGTGGCTTTGTGCTGCTTTTTATACCGCCGATGACGTCACAGGTGCTGAATTGATGGGGTTTTTTTTTCAATGAAAACTTTCAATATAAGTTCCGAAAATATTTTTTCGAAAAACCCCGTGGCCTGGTGGTACAGCTCGCTGACCAATGGTCTTGGGTCCCGGGTTTGATTCCCAGTTCTGCCGATCGGCGTGGCTGGGAAAGGCCTGGAAGATTTTATTCGTCACTTCGGTAAAAATTTTTAAAGATAAATATAAGAGTATGCTGCAGAGCAGGACTCAAACCGGAGACATCCGGCATGACAGTCTGTCCCCTTTTCCTCTTTGCCATCGATCTTTCTCGAAAATTCTTCCTTTTGTTTTGGACTTGGACGTTTTTCAGCCAGAATCAGATTTTGAGATTACAAGGGGTACCCCTGGCAAAATGTTTAACTCTGAGGGTCTGAGGCTGGGAGTGTGAGAGGTGTGAGTTGGTGTTGGCTTCGGAGTGAGTGGCTCAGGGCTTGAGATCTCAGGACTGATAGTTGATGGCTGATGGTCAGCGGTTGGGTGGGCAGCCTTACAAGGGTAAAGTTGGATGGTTGAAGAAAGTGTTGGAATGATGTGGTGCCTTGAAATTCGGTGTGAGAGGGATAGAGAATTGAAGTTAGGTGTGTGTTAGTGTGATAGTACTTGGAGTATACGTGGTTGCCTTTGTGAGCTTTTAGATGGAACTGACAGTCACGGTTTGTTGTGGCTAAAAGTTGATAGGTGTCGTGTGAGATAAAACGCGAGATGAAAATGGAGCGTGACGAGAGTGAAGATTTAAACCATCCAGCCTCAGGCGCTTAGAGCTAAGGACGGTAGAAGCAAGTGGAAATTAATATTATTACACTGTAAGAACATATTTTTCAAATTCAGGAATAATTCTCACGACTTGGATTTAGAGAGCAAGAAAGAGTTAACGACTTACTATGTTTTAATTATAAAACATAGTTAACAGGGTTTCTTTTAAACCACTGTTGTGATTGTAATATGTTGTTCCAACAATAAACAAGAATAGCGCCCTCTGTTGATATATATTATTGGCAGGCAAATTCTCTGTGAGAAATTGTACGGGATGTTTTGATAATATGAAAGTAACAAGTAATTATATGTTTACACCGATACAGTTCTTTGTTAAGACGTCTGATTGGTTGGTCAATATCGTACTCATTTTATTATACATTGTAATCAGAATTTGTGACCAAAATGTTTAACATGAAACAAATATTACTGAAAAATAATAAGACACAGGTTTACTAGAAGACGTTTTGGCCAACAAACAAATCCATCTAAACTTAAACCATTGGCAAGTGTATAATGCAAGACCAATGCTCTTCAATGATAATTGTGAAAAAAAAAGTAACAATTCTATCAAAAGACGTTCGAAACCTTTTTCGGGAAAGATCCGGAAAAGTCCCTAAAACTGATTGTATGGCCTTTATCATAACCCAGCATTTTGCATAAATACAGTAGCAATGTTACATTTATGTAAATATATTGCATTCTATTATTCCGTACATTAATGTACACATGTTGTATCAAGCTGCTGCACTACAGCTGAGATTTATGTAAAAATATTCTATTTTGATTAGTTTAGCTAGTATAAAATAGCAGATGTCCTATGCTTAGTTGTTCCAGTAATGTGCATATTTTAACGATTACTTAATTATTTTAAACAGATTTTCGTCAAAGCAACACCATCTGGAAATGTCAATACCACACATTGTGATCTAAAACCCAATCTAAATGTTAAGTTTATTGATTGAAGAAATTGTGTACTTATACAGGTAGCTACATGTACAATAATGTTAACAGGGCTGCGTCGAATGCAATCGAACCCTGATAAGAGCACTGTTAATACAACATCCTGCTTATAACAAGGACAATTGTAGGTCCCAAGTCTTTGTTTTTCTTTGTTTTCCATTACTGTTAATACAAGGTACCTGTTATAACAAGGTAATTTATCAAGTCCCAAGGACCTTGTTATCAAGGTGTTCGACTGTACACCGAATATTCAATCATCCACCGAACATCAGAATAGCATTTACAAAAAAAGAATACTCGAGAAGATGACGAAAAACGTCCGTGATGTAACATATTTGTAGAAGTTGAGTGGTTTTAATGTTTGTGAAATGCCACATTTTTGTGGGCAGCTACTTTGCACACATAATTTTAGAGCTTCCACGAGGAAAATAGCCCTAATTTGCATCTTTAACATCTGTCACATATCAACTAGTCAGCTATCTCAAAAAAATAAATACATGATATTTACGACAGGCTCTAACCTCAATATCAATGGTCGAATATTTGAATATTCAAGCAAAACCAAGTTCCAATAATCGAATACTAAATTATTTGGAAATGCACAGCACTAAATGTTAATTACATTTGTTTTGTTATTTTGTGTAATGCTGCTCTCTGTTCAACTCGTACTTCATGCGTAAAATGATCAGATTACAAATAAATCTATGTGTATTTTGTCTGAAAAATATATTTTTCATAAACATACATTTGAAAAATTAGCAGTTTCCAAGCAACACATGCTTTAAAAGTAAATGTTTTAAGCATTTAATTTCATATGCAAATTTGAACTAGTTGCTTGTAAATTAATAAGTTGCCTTTTGTTTTATGGTATTTTGCTATGAATAATGTGACAATAAAACAAGCCACTATGGTAATATGAAGGGTCGCTGGTTAATAATTGTAGTCTGTTTGACCAAAAATGGGGTGGACTTCATCTGGAGTAAGTGGGGGAGGGAGGTGTATAACTTTGAAAGAAGGAAAAAACATTCCATTAAGAAAATTGATATTTTTTCCTATAGGACTATGCCTGTTCCAGTTGCTGTTTCACTGAACGTAAGTCTTCACATTGGATCATCCAGTGTGCATAAGTAACACATCAAGTTAAGAAAATGCAGTGAACACAAAAGACTAAGGCTATGTATTCCGTTCAGTCAAGTTTTATCAACAGATTGAAAGCATGTTACAAAGAATGTTCCTTGGCGGGAGACTTTAAGTTTAGTTTGTGGATGTGTCTGATATGAAGATCACAAATACAGCAGAAAAGGGTACAGGAATATCAACATGTTCTCCTAAACCGTCACCTCCAAAAGATAATTAAGAAGAGATACTTTTGAGTATGGTTCTTAACATCAGAAGAACCACAGCAAACAGATAAAGAATACCAACGTCTCCATTAACAACATATCTCCAGCATCTAAGCTGCGTGTTGTTGAAATCTCTACAGATGTGTAAATGTTATTAAGGTAAGATCACATAATTCTTCATGAGAGAACCCACTGAGTATCCCAAAGGTAAGAAACATCTCAGACAACAAGACGGAACAAAAAAACCGTCCTGGTGTTACATGTCAACATCTCAACTTCTGAACATCTTAACTTCTTAGGTAATGGCCAAAAAAGGACTGGGATGTAAAATCCAAATAATCTCTTTGCAGCAATGGGATTTGATGAACAATTGCACTATTTTTTTCTATGAGATAAAATAAATCCCCATTCATAAAAAGAACAATTGATGGCTATTTTAAGCTGTCAAGAAATATGTTGGACAACATGGTTACGTGCTGATTGCAGTTTGCAGTTTTGACTTATTTTAAGAAGAATCAACCCCTTATCATAAAGGTATTAAAGTTCTCAGACATTTACAAGAATCAACATGAGTGTAAAGAATTCAGACTTGTTTCTGTGTTATATAATAGTACATGGCAGCATTGTTATTGTGCATTAGGTTTACTACTGTTCTTTATTTGTAGGTGATTTAGTGTTTATATGAAATTGTATCTGTATTATTTCATCAAAAAGTCATAGTTTGCGTGATGATTGTGTAATTTTGTCTAACGTTTGCAATGTTGAATAATGTCATGCGAAAATGGTGTAAATTTTGTATTGATATTTATATGAACCCTCTGAAAATTATGTCAATATTTTAATCAACCAGCTAACCAATCAGCCAATCAATCAATCAATCAATCAATCAATCAATCAATCAATCAATCAATCAATCAGTCATTAAATCGATCAATCATGAAAAGAACCAAGACAGTCCACCAGTGAATCAGTCAGCCAATCAATCAATCAATCAATCAATTAATCAGCCAGGCAATCAATCAATCAATCAATCAATCAATCAATCAATCAATCAGTCATTAAATCGATCAATCATGAAAAGAACCAAGACGTCCACCAGTGAATCAGTCAGCCAATCAATCAATCAATCAGCCAGGCAATCAATCAAACAATCAATCAGTCAATCAAGAGTGAACCAATCAGTCCATCAGTTATTTCGGATTTCCTGTTGTCTTTTTAGCACGTTGTTTTTCAGGTACAAAATTACACTGTTACGTAGTTGATCTGATTTTGAAACATGTTAAGAAACCTGGTGATGAATTAATCCAAATCCTCCAACAATCACTGTTAATGGGTTGAGGCAGCACTGATGACATTCAGAAGCAGTGCGGATGATATCGAGCATAATGCAGGCTCAATTATGCACGACTGAACAAAAGCAATGCTGGGTACAGCCTAAGACATTTGTGTTTATGTATAAATTTAGTCTAAAGTACTCTGCAAGTACACTCCATTCAAACCCTGTGTCCCTTTAGAATATTCATTATTAAATTGTAAAAGCTCTACATTTTTAAGCAAGCTTAAGCTCTACATGTAGATGGTTCAGGCACAGACGATACCATAAAGGCCGATGAAAGTTAACAACATAACAACAAATGAAGAAAGGAAAAGAATGTAAACATAAAAGCAACTGGATGCAAGCTAGTGTAATGAACGACTACTGTAAAATGGTCAAAAGAGGGCGCTGTTCACAACTTGAATGCCACTGACTTGTTGGCCCGATTAGATTAAAACCAGACAAACATGCAGAAAATTTTGTTTTTGATGTCAATTTTACAGGAAAATATCTTCGTTGTTTTAAAACATCAGACCGAGAAATCAAAGACGGTCTTATAAGCTCACTTCATAAAATCAAATATGTAGAATGATATTTGTGTAACTCTTAAATTTAGCACCACTGGAAATTCTGTTACCTCGGCAATTGGGGGGACTTATGTCGATTTCTTACTATCCTGAGCTAAATCCTCTTTGGTGATTGGTCGTTTCAGCCACAAGGCTAGTAGCATTAAGGCGTGGCAGACATGGAGAGAGGCGGAGCTAAGCGAGGTGGAGGGGTAGGTGTTCCAACACAGCTCAATCACGCCCAGAATTAAAATCCTGAAAATAAGAACGTTCAAAATGAAAATTGTCAGTTATATTCTAGATGAGAGAAATAGCTGACTTACACTTGACAATGCTTGAGAACTTTCTTTTGAGAAAGCCATACAAATACTAGAAGAGCACAATCTATTCTCAGTAACTTTGGAAACAATAAACCCCCTCTTAAAAATAAATAAATGTGACTGACCAAGGGCAAGGGGGGGGGGGTTGAGGGGGGGGGCATCCAGGCAGGATGAGGGGCAAGTGGCATGAGGGCTGTATTTCTAATTGTCTGGCCATGCCAATTCTACTCTAAACATTTTTGTGCTCTTTACCCAAACCCTTTTCCAAAATTACCCCCGCTTACACACTAACTAGCAACACCCTGACTTAATTCCTTTGTCACATCTTTGACTGGATATGTAAGTTTGACTTACCTAAAGACGGAAGGTAAATTGGTACTCCAGAGAAGATATGGCAACGTGTGGAAGTACCAGACGTAAAACTGATAATGAAGGGATCGACTGAGGGCAACACCGATGAAATTCGCAGCAAATAAGGAAGCAACGATATGTGGGATCGAATTAAGGAAAAGCTTATATAGGATTTGAAGAAATATTTAGCAAAGAAATCACTGTACAGCTTAAAAACAACATGAAGACAGATCTCAAGGTATGACGAGTGACACAGCAGGGCCAAGAAACAAGTAAGCATTGTCATATTCTCACGTCTCAAAAAACAGGGCTTTCTTGAGTAAGTAAGTCCCTATCCCCCTTTACTTTCTTCCAGTAAAGCGGGATAGGAAGTCTGAGGAGGTAGTTCAAAAAGTTACCGGCTTGAAGACTGGCACATGTACTTGTACATGTAACATCAAGCATTTCTTTGGTCACTTTACTGTTCTAGCAAAACCTGCCATGGGTACCGGACATTTGTTTATTACAAAGCTCAAGTAGCATCACTCCAAACTTTGAACAACAAAATTTGGTCAAGATTTTATTTTAAAAAATCTTCAAACTAAAGATAGAGAACGTTTCTTGTTATCAAAGGATATAATTATCTCCCAGGATAAATCTCTCCTCCTTCTTTGGTTTGGGTAAAAGAGCCAGGATTCCACCTCGTCTCCTGAAATTAAAAAAAAAGATAAGTAAAATTAGTTCAGAGAAACTTTATTTTGACAATTTTATATTAAGCATGAAACTGCTGACAAGCTGAAACTGAAAGTACGATTACAGCTTACACAATCATGTGACCATTGAATATTCATATCTTTACCTGTTCCATCGATGTATTACAAACAATGCAATAAGAACTGCATGTAAGGCTAGGAGAGATGTCTGGAAGTAGCGATTCAGGAATAGCTCCTCAGGAAGAAACCTCCAGTTCACTGTCCACTTGAAGAAGAACTGACGACCGAGGTCAAAGGAGCGGATGATGTAGCCTGAAGGATTCTCACGAAGGAATGGAATGGCCACAAGGAGCTGGATGAAAACATTGATGAAAGATAATAATTAGAAAAATCAACGTTGCCAACATCTAAAAATGTACATCACACAACAAGGAGACAAAATCTGACAACTTTGTTTAAAATAAACCAAGAAAGAAAACTGAATACATTTAGATTTACTGGAGCGGGATTTGAACCGGCGACCTCTGGATTGCTGTTCCGGTGCTCTTCCAACTGAGCTATCCAGCCCTATGTATATAGCTCAGTAGGTAGAGCACCGCAATGGCAATCCAGATGGTTGCAGGTTCAAACTCCACTTAAGTCCACTCCTCTGTTCTTTAAACTTTTTTTAAGTCAGTCAACAAATCAACAAAACACGTCGGCCACTCAAATAGAAACTGTGGCTAACTTGTTCATTAGAAAGCCGCATACAAGCGGTGAACACAGAACAGCGGAGTCAGTCAGTCAAGCATCAAGCATCAAGCCTCCCAGTCAACAATCATACAAGATGAGGACGGGGCAGCCAGCAAGCCAGCCAGTCATAGTCAAAGACACAATCCTAACATTCAGTACCTGTATGACGGCACAGATGAAGAGTCTTGGAATGGTTGCCCAGAAACCAAACTCAGACAGTAGAAGGAGTAAGAGAGCTGGAGAGAAGAGAAGGACGTTCATCTTGACTGACACACCCACGCTGCAAGCAAATATCAAGTCATTAAATCCAGGCTCTTAACCCCAGCATATGCTCTGAGGCAGTGTTGTAGTAAGGTCCATCACGAGTCCTCATACTCAAGTCCAAATTAAGTCAGAAGGTATCCAAACAAAGGATGACAAATTATTATTCATCCTCTGTGAATTATGACTGGACTTGTGGGGCGTTTTCGAATCCCTGTTCTTGACAACACTCGGGTTAACCCGACACGAGAACAGCGGTCTCGAACGTGACGAACAGACCCGAGAGGGCGTTCGCGGATCGATTTTTTCACTCCCCGGTTGATGGAGGGTTCGGCGAGGTGCAGCTTGAACAAAATGGCGGACTGTGCAGATTCGTAAATTGTTTTGTGGTGTTTTTTTTGTTGCTAATACCCTAATGATGGGAATAAGAATACCATTATAGTGCAGGTATGCAATTTCATCCCCGCATGTCTGGTTTTGCAACAGTCGTCCTCGTTCATTTGGAATAGGCCTAAGAACAAATTCAGACGATTGTCGGCCATTTTGCATTGCTTTATATCGATGCGACACGCATCCGCGCGTTCGTAACAACCAGCTCGAGAATACGTTCTCGTGTTACCCGCGTGTTGTCAAGAACAGGGATTCGAAAACGCCCCGTGATGTTCTTGACTACGAAGCTAGCCTTGTTGGTCCAATAATTGCCATTCTGTATGAAGGGTATCGGCACCATCCCAACTGAAGTGTTTCAGTTGAATTTCTTTAGTTGGGATAGTCTAGTTGGGCACAACAGTACCACTGGCTATTAAATAAATTTGCACATAAGATCATGGGACCTTGTGAAGCCTAAAGCTCGATTCACACTTCAAACGGAAGCGAAGCAAATTCATCAAGGAAACAATCAAAGTTTCATTGTGACATCCTGTTTCCTTAACAAATTCGCTACCCACTGACATTCGCAAGAAGTATTTAGCGGCCTTAATTACTTTTTAAAAATATATACATGTTTTTCAATCAATAAGTCTCTTAATCCTCCTACCTGAACCAAAAACATCCCCAATTCCACCGTCCGTCCATGAAGAGATTGATGGAAAGGTAGAGGAAGAACATGGCGACAGGATCGTTGAACATTCGTAAGATGTAGATGGAATGAATGCGATAGGAAGCACAACACATGAAGAACAAGACGTAGGGTGGAACCTGGACAGATACAGGGAAAAGTTGGAACTTGAAATTAATGCTGTTGACCCTAACTCCCTAGCATCTTTTACTAGGAACTGGACTAATTCCATCAAAATCCATCAATCACTGTGCGCCTAAAACAAAACTGTACATGAGATAATGGAATCCACCACTGATGCACTGGTTGACATTCATGGATTTCCTACACATGGCTTTTATCACCATAGCAGTACAGGAAGCTAGGCAAAATCTATGGGATACCCCTAGCACTGCTACAGGCTTTTAGGCCCAAGTCCATCATACTCCATCAATATTTCATCACGCCAGGCCTTCTGGACCAAGTCCCCCAAAATCCACCGAAACGGGGGATGGATTTTGACAAAGTTAGGGTTAATCTGTATTTCCTTGGCATTTTGTTGTTGGAAATTTGTCCAAGAAAACCAATGACACCATTCCTTGTAACAAATCTGACACATACATGTAAAGTTTATATAATAAAGGCTGGGCTACAACAACAAGTGATAGATTCAGCCAGTCCTAAATCCTTTAAAATCATACAAAATCAATTTTTGAATATTTTGTGAATCCGTCAAAATTATACAAAACAATGAAATCATACAAAAGTGAAACAACAAGTAAAGAAATTTTGCTGTACAAATTTGTCATACTCGGTATGTCAACTATGATATGATAAAGAATTGTCTTAAAACTCACAATGCATTAACTAAATTCACATTTCATTGGTTCGTGTAAATTGATAACATTCTTTCAAATGAAACCAACCTTTTTGGTTCTGTTGTATATTCTAAAGACGAGCAGCAATGTTGCCAAGTAGAGGCCAGCGAAGATATACTGTGCCAGTCTGATGTTTGTACCGAAAGGCAGGCCCGTAGGAAGCTAAAATTTATTGGTCAGGCTCATCTCAGGGCAGGGAGCTCAGTTGATGCGAGCGCGTAGCGCGAAGCCCTAACGGCGTGGGGTTCGGGGCCCGCTTAAGGGCCCCGAACAATTTTGGATTCCAGACGCTCTGTGGTGCGATCTGAGGCAATTTCTGACCACTTTAACCTTTTTTTGAGCTATCATCATTTAAACATCATTTTCAAGTTTGGAGTCAATTATCTTTTTATATATATTTTTTTTTGCGTGAGAAATCCCATGTCGGCGTTAAAGCATGAGAATAACCTGAAATGTGTGAGTCTTACGCTCAATGTGTTAGAGTTGGCAGGCCTGCAGAGGCAGATCCAGGATTTGACCCAATCCCTTCCAAATGTAACCAAAAGCCACTCCCCCCCCCCCAACACTATGCATGTATCTATGCATGCATATTATCTTCGTAATTTGTACAAGACACATTTTGGAGCACTGCACATCTGCAAGTTTAACCAGTATATGTCACTTGATGAACTTTACATAGGATTCGTCAAAATTTAGCCTATCGTAGTGAAAAGTTTTGGACATTTGCTCATCGCAAAACTTTTTTGGATCTAGATGCTCTGTAGTGCAATCTGAGGCATTTCCTGGCCACTTTCCCCTGACTTTGAAATGTATTTGTGTTTTAGTGGGTGGGTCATCAAAGATGATAAATTACATCACAAGCATCACATCAAAACTGTAGCTTGACTCTCTTTCTAGATTTGTGCTCTTTAGCTTGATCCATGATTGTGTTTACAGGGTAAGGGCGTAATCATACATGTCGCCATGCACTACACGTTAAGTTAAATGGAATTTAACTATGAATTTTAGTTTTCCTCAGACTTGTACTTGTGTTTTTCTTAAAAAGAAGTGGTTTTCTAGCTGAGAAAATAGCAAGGAAGAACTGGTATTGTGCAAGCAAAATTCAGGGAATAATCCGTTGATACTAATATCTTGTTGGAAAATTCCAAAATCATTTCAAGAAAGTTGCCGCCGTGAATCAGAGTTTATGAAGGGACGGAAAGTGGGATTTGCTATCAGCATCAACAGGGCCGTTCCTCATTATTTACCTTTTATGGGATGTGAATCAAATTGGAAGACGAGAGGCTCTGCCGGCTGATGTATTTTTTAGAAATTTAATTCACCGGTATGGATACAGTGTACGTACATGATTGAACTGCCGAGCGTATTTGTTAAGTATTTTTTTTTCTAAAAAAAATACATCAGCTCGCAGAGTCTCTCATCCTCCAATTGATTCACATCCCATCAGGTAAAGAATGACGAACGGTCTTGTTGATAGCAAATCCCACTTTCCGTTCATTCATAAACTCTGATTCACAGCGGTAATTACTTTCTTTGAATGATTTTGGAATTTTCCAACAAGATATTAACTTTAACGGATTATTCCCTGAATTTTGCTTGCACAAAACCGGTTCTTCCTTGCTATTTTCTCATTTAGAAAACCACTTCTTTTTAAGAAAACACAAGTACTAGTCCGAGGACAACTAAAATTCATGGTGGCGGCTAATCGCCATTCCGTTTAACTTAACATGTAGGCCTATAGTGGCGACATGTATGATTACGCCCTTTCCCTTTTAACACACACACAAAAACAAAACAAAACACAAAAACAACACAAGAAAAAATTGTGGGAGGGCGACGGGGGCCATGCCCCCCCCCCCCAAAAAAAATGGAAGCCATTTTTTGTTTCAGTGTCGTCGCAATAGAGGCAGGTACTGCATACACCACCATCTTTTTCTTTAAAAAAAATTGTTAAAGTGGTCAGAAATTGCCTCAGATCGCACCACAGAGCATCTAGAAACCAAAAAAAGAAAAAATCCAGCCTTGGGGCCATGCAAGGCCTTGTATACATTAAAAAAAAAGATATGCCTGTCATTATTGGTACGGCCATAGCCGTACCTGCCGTACCGCTTCCTACGGCCTTGGTCGGTGATGTAGTATAACGCCATGAAGATGTAGACAAAACCTGCTGGATACCTATCAATACAAACACAAAGTACAACGTTCAAAAATCCATCACAGTACACTAGGGAGGCCCCCTTCAATGGAGAAACCATTATGCACACTATTTGTACAAAGCAACTGCCCTGTGACGGATTAGCTGAATAGCTAGCACAATGCTTTCGCCATTGAAGGGGGGGCTCAGTGATAGAATTGATAATGTGTCCAATTAAGTGTATAATTTCATGCATGGATATTTCAATATGTTCAATATTTGAATGAAGCTAACCCAAGAGTCCTGATGCCAATTCACAGCCTCACCTCTGACTAAATCTAAGAGTGAATTTTCAGTCTGTTATGGGATATTGTGTGATGACATATATTTACTTTAATTGCCAGAACAAAAATGCCTGTAATTGTTTTTAACTATAGTATAAGTGCATTGAGCGAACCAAACACTGATTGTGCATGTTGATTTTGTCCGAGGACTTTTGCTGCCAAATTTCACCGTCTCACAGCTTCATCAATATTTAACCTTAACTCCCTGCAAGTCCGCCAACATTTCTCAATCACACTTCTTCCAGTGCACTCTTTGCTTAAGGCCTCCAGGCCCAAGTCCATCATACTCCATCAATATTTAGTCAAACCAGCCTGCAGGACCAAGTTCCCCAAAATCCACCAAAATGGGGGGGATGGATTTTGATGGAGTTGGGGAGGTCAGGGTTAATGATCGTTTCTTACACTAGGGGTCCAGTGCCTCCCTTCAGCTTCATGTAGTCATAGGTTCCATTGACGACTCCTTCAACTTCATCCATGTATGCTTCCCAATCAATCTCAGTATCTGTGTAACGCATGACCAGAGAAATAGTCACGACGGCAAACTAGACTTTTCGATTGAATACCGTTCAAGTTTTCATATGACTTGTTAGCACCATCATATCCGACACTTTTTGTGAGTAATTTGGATAAATGCATATGACATTAGTGCAGATATTATCGGTGGTAACTATATTTTGTTACTGTCCTATTCGTTTAATTTCAGGAATTTTAGAGAGAAAATTTTAAATACTGGGAATCGGTGACTCATTTTTCTCACCTTTGCGCCAGCACTTCCTCTACACATGCTCACTTATACATCCATGTATGGATTTATTGAGATAATAAATTACCATCTCTGAGCGAATGTGTGGCTCATGGGTCATTTTGGAAAGCGGTCCAGGCATGGGCGTCGCCAGGATTTTTTCTAGAGGGGGGCAAAAAAATTTTTTGCCAAAAAATGCTTGTATTTCTCAACACATTCTCGATTTATCAGTTTTAGAGGGGGGCAGGGACATTTTGCCCCCCCCCCCCCCAACTCATTAAATTTACACCACTTTGTCTTCGCGCCTCTTTTTTTTTTTTTTTTTTTCTTCCTTTTTCTTCCTTTTTTTTTTTTTTTTTTTTTTTGCTTTTCCGGGGGGGGGGGGGGGGGGGGGGGGGCAAGTGCCCCCCCTTGCCCCCCCCTCGCGACGCCCATGGGTCCCGGTGATCCGAGTTCGAGACCCAGCGAAGCTTGAAATACAAGATGGAAAGATTCCCATATCTGGCCATTACTTGTCACCCTGTGCACAAACCCTATGGGACTGGTCTGAAAATTTCTAAGTGTTTTCTTTAAAAAAATGTTTTTCCCCTGCTATTCGTGCTAAACTTGACTTTTTAAGACATATTATCACTTTTTGATGGCTGGTAGATCACTTAATGGAAAAAGTAGTGATGGCCAGATATGGGAATCTTTCCTTTAAAAACATTTCCCCGAAAAGTATGACTGAGTAGGTTTTTCTTACTTTATTGTTTACTTAAAATGCACACAAAGTCTCCATAGGCATAGACTTTGTACACACCCAAGAAGTGGCGTCTGGATAGTACATTCCTTCCAAAATATATTCTACTAGGCCTACTGCTCACCGCCGACCATGACAGCACATAAACACCAGTGAACCCCCCCCCCACCAACTGGCCGGATGCAGACCGTGCCCCGCCCACGTCACCTCACCAAACATGCCAAAGAAAGAGCTAGCGTGGTGAGTAAGTAGGCCAACAACTTACACTTGACTTTTTGAATAACAATCACATTAACAACAATTTCTGCAAGCCATAGCATTGCTGCTGTTATCCACAAGTAACTGGGGTCGAACAAGAGTCCATGCATATGGTTTCTGCATCTCCGAATCAAGGATTCTTTGGCCATTTTCTTAACCAAAATGCGCACGATGCTCCACAAGGTCTTGCTATTGCTACACGTACAAAATGCATATGAACAACTGGTGTCCTGATGCTAAACGTAGCTTTAGCATTGAACGCACTGCATTCATTGGAACCAGCTAACGCAGCTGTTGACCTTTGAACCTTGAACTTTAGTAAAAGGTAAACAAAATGGCTGTCATTTGCCGATGGTTTTCTATTCTTCGTGTGTTTTTGATCGTATTTCTGTCGTATGTGGTGGGTCAAGTATGCACATATTACGGTGAGTTACCTTCTTTGCAATACAGTGTACATTTTATGACACATTATTGTTATTTTAGAAAGGGCATCATCGGACGGGAACGAACGCTGCTGTTTTGTGTCGTGAAAATTTGTGGAGATTTTAGTGAGCGCCCTCAACATGCAAAATCAAGACAGCATGGACGGGCTATTGATTTGTCATGAAATACGTGTTTCCCCTGGGATGGGATGTTTTGCTAACTGAATTCAAAAGACACATGTTTTGACTGCACTGTACATGTTGCCTCCTCATTACTACATGTACTTAAAAGTAGCCAGAAAGTTCAGTACTACTACTACTAGTACTAGTAGTAGTAGTACGTAGGCTCTATAAAATAATAAATGGCTAAACTGAAGCAAAAGATGAGATTTGAAGATTTGCATGGTGAAGGGTAATAATAAGCTAAGTTGTTGCGGTACCACCATGTGACAAAATGTCTTTTGTGAGTGTGTGGTTCTGAAAGCAAAAGGAATCAAATCATTTGGAAGCTAGAAAATGAGCCATGTTAACATAACACTGCAGCCAACTCAATATGTGCATTGTACAAAGCCATACCATGCATATGGTTTACGTTACGGTAGTATTGTCTGCTTTATATTTGAGTTTGACCCTAAAAAACGTAGAACGAAAATCAGTTTTTAAATCGCCGTTCTTCAAAGTTTACTTTTTAATGCGACGCAAGATGAAAAATCAAATTGTGTTTTTAGTATACTAAACTTCCGTACAACCATCAACATCAACACCGTGCTCCATTTTTCTTGGATCTATAAAAAAAAATCTTGATTAATTGTCGGATCTGACTGGCTACAATATTACCGAGTTCTACAAGTTCATACAACAAATTGATCTGATCTGTTACTTTCTGTTCGTGTCCTTGAATCACTTAATGAGACTTAGTGAGTTACATGTAACATGATATGGGTTGTTTCTGCTCAGTTACGCAGTAATGAAGTAAAGAGGTTCCTGCGATATTGATTAGTCGTTTAGATTCTATCTTTGGTTTTAATTGTTAGGCCGAGCTTTCGCTCAGCCAGTGAAAAATTGCTTATAGACTCGTCAAATTGCTCATCTGAACGGAAGTCTTTAGTAATAGGTTTTCAAAAATGTTTTATTCTTATAAATAAAACATGACATTCATAATCAACAGCATTTTAGCAAAAAATGTTTGGTCCAGGATAGAGACTCGGACGACAATATCTACAAGCAGTGTTGCGTCCAAACGAAACTTATCGTCCTCATCAACTGATGAGAACTCAGAGGTTTGTTGAGGTACTTGAAAATCGAAAGAAGAAGCAGGCCAGATATTCTTCCAAATCTATTTCGCCTTTACTAAACATGGATCAGATTGTATTACGTTCTGACACAACATGACAATCACAGTAAGATGCATGGCAACGTCAACCCGGGGTTTGTACAAGCATCTGCACATGCGCACCTTTGTAGTCACGCTTCGCTGACTCCAGGGCGGGGCTGGGCGGGGCTTGGCTAGGCGGGGATGGGAATGTAAAGGGTTTTATAAGTGAATAAGCTTCGATTCGCTTCACTACCCGCCATGCTTTCACGGTTCATCCTTACTTCACGCGAATGCGAATGTGAAGCGGATTAGACGCCAGGAAACATTCGCGCTGGAATTCACAGGAGTTGAAATGGTGTTCAACTTTTGCAAAGTCACAGAGCGAAAACTTGCTGTTGCGTTACCAATTACATGATTTTCGCTTTCGCCCCGAATATGAACCGGCATTTAGGCTATACAATCTGTTCGCAGTGAATTAGCGGGATGAATAGAAGATTAATACAAAAAAAAATGAACTTTTTTAAAAATAATAATCGTTACACCTTTGCTGACCACGATGACGCTGACCATGCAGCCAACAAGTTTATTGTGAAGAAACGGGCTGAAATTGGTCTTCTGCATGAAACGACAAGGTTGCCTTTGATAGTTCGCAATAATTTTGATCCGTCAGATTGATCATTCCATTCCATTCGGTAATTTCACAATTACTTGCTTCGAATTCCTCAGTTAGTTTCTTCGAACTCCAATTTCATTCGGCAAATTCATCATTCCATCCGCTAATCTCATCATTTCATTTGTAGAATTCATCCTGCTGGATTTGCCGAATGAAATGGTGTACTCGCCGGATATGATGAATATGATGACGTTGCGGAATGAAATGATGATTTTGCCGAATAAAATGGCGAATTCCCAGAACGGAATGATAAAATTGCCAAATGAAATAATGATTTCCCCGAAAGGTGTGATGAATTCGCCGAATGCAATGGAGAGTTTGCCGCATGGAGTGATGTGAATTATTGAAAGTGGGTTTTCATTTAAAATACAAAATTAAAGCTTTTTTTATTTTAGGTAGAGGCGTTGTTGTATATGCGTACGATGTATGTTTTTTTAATTAAATTGCTTTATATTAAGCTCCTTAATGGTTCATATATATCATTTTTAAGTTCTATCTTTTGGTTTGATTATTAGGCCGAGCTTTCACTCAGCCAGGGAAAAATTGGTTATAGACTCATCAAATTGCTCATTTGCACGGAAATCTTTAGTAAAAGGCGAAAGATTTATTCGAATGTAGATAAGCCTGAGTTACCTAATGGAACGTTGACCTGGAGTCTGGTCTTCGGAGCTGCAACATGACATTCACAGTAGCTTGCAATCATTGACAACTGTCGTTTTGTAACGGCATTTGCGCATGTGCACGAGAAGTCACGCTTCATTGATTCCAAGCTTTAGGGCGTTTTCGATGGCGGTCTCTATTGATGACTTGCTCGCAGTCGTTGGGACCTTGCTTGTTGTTGCTGACTTGCTGCGGTCGATGCGGACTTGCTGGTAACTTTCGATGGGGCCGGGGCCTCGCTGGCGGACCGTGACTTGCCTGCGGTCGACGGTGGTTTGGCCATGGTCAATGGGGCCTTGTTGGTGGTCGGTGGCTTGCTTGCCGGCGATGGCTTGCTTGCGGTTGGTATCTTGCTTGGGGTCGGCGATGGCTTGCCTGAGCTTGCCGTTATGGAGCGGGTGGTAGGTCGAGGGCGGGGAGTTGGTTTGGAACTCGTCCCAGAACCCCTGGGCCTTGGTAGAGATCTCCATCTCCTCTGTTTCGCTGTCGCCGGTTGAAAGGGGAGGAAAGTCGGTTTTGCTTACCAGTTCACGGGATGGCGGGAAAACCATTGTGCCCGGTTTCGTCTTGGTTGCTGCTGAGGTTGTAGTTGGTCTAGCGAGCGATGTCGGACAGTTAAATGAGGTGTGGTTTTCTGAACTGCAAATTGTGCACGTTTTTGGCAGTGGGCACTCCGCGCTGCGGTGCCCTTGCCCCCTGCAGTTGAAGCATGTTAGTGTCCCGCAGTTGGCTGCCAGGTGGCCTGGTTTACCGCAACGTCGGCAGGTCTTTTGCTGTCCGTCGTACTGGACGTACAGCTGAAAAGGCCCCACCTTGATGTAGGAAGGAATGGGCGAACAGAGGGTCATGCGAAAATGGCTGATGCCATTCTCCCATTCGGGCGTTGCCGGCCAATGTCCACGTCGGTGTCCTATCACCTGCCCATACTGCGCTAGGGTAGTGACGATGGGGCTGTCCGCCAACTCCTGTGGGGCGTTATGCACGTTGACATACACCAATGCTGTGTCGGCCTCTGAAGTCGTTACTGGTCTTTCGTTGATTTTCAGGTGTTCTGTAGTCATCTTTGTCTTGGCTGACGTCTTTTTGAAAGTGACGCACCGCTTAGCATCTTTCACGTGTTGCACGCATTTCACTTCATTCTCTGGAACATGCTTCTTTATCAATGCGAAAATTTCTTTTGGCTGTGTCTTTTCTTCAAGATGTAGGTTGAGGCTAAGCTCCCGGTTGAGCCTCGAGAAAGCCATCCTTGGCTTTGGCGTACTCAGTCGTGAAATTTAAAAATCTTTAGTAAAAGGCGAAAGAGTTATTCGAATTGCAAATAAGCCTGAGTTGTCTTAAATAAGGTTGGATCAAATTGTATTCCGTTCTGATACAACATGACAATCACAGTAAGATGCATGGCAACGTCAACCCGGGGTTTGCATCTGCACATGCGCGCCTTTGTAGTCGCGCTTCGCTGACTCCAGGGCGGGGCTGGGCGGGGCGGGGCTCGGCTAGGCGGGGATGGGAACGCTTTCGCCCCGAATATGAACCGGCATTTAGGCAATACAATCTGTTCGCAGTGAATTAGCGGGATGAATAGAAGATTAATACAAAAAAAATTTGAACCTTTTTTTTTTAAATAATCGTTACACCTTGCTGACCACGATGACGCTAGCCTTTCACCATGGCCATCGTGGCTTAACTTGCCCGCATTCAAAGCGGCGAAATAATGGTGTGCTCGACGGATGAATAGGATGACGTTGCGGAATGAAATGGCGAATTCCCAGAACGGAATGATAAAATTGCCAAATGAATTAATGATTTCGCCGAAAGGTGTGATGAGTTTGCCGAATGGAGTGATGTGAATTATTGAAAGTGGGTTTTCATTTAAAATACAAAATTAAAGCTTTTTTTATTTTAGGTAGAGGCGTTGTTGTATATGCGTACGACGTATGTTTTCGCTAAATTATATTAATCTAATTGCTTTATATTAAGCTCCTTAACGGTTCATACAGATCATTTTTAATTCTATCTTTTGGTTTGATTGTTAGGCCGAGTTTTCGCTCGGCCAGGGAAAAATTGGTTATAGACTCATCAAATTGCTCATCTGCACGGAAATCTTTAGTAAAAGGCGAAAGATTTATTCGAATGTAGATAAGCCTGAGTTACCTAATGAAACGTTGACCTGGAGTCTGGTCTTCGGAGCTGCAACATGACATTCACAGTAGCTTGCAATCATTGACAACTGTCGTTTTGTAACGGCATTTGCGCATGTGCACGAGAAGTCACGCTTCATTGATTCCAAGCTTTAGGGCGTGCCCACTGCCGGCCGGGCGCGGTTTGGATGAGAAAAGCCTTCCTGCACGCGGCGTGATCTTGAATGTAGTTGTAACTCACAATAGTCGCCACAAGGAGTATTGTCGCGATGAGTTTCAATCAGTTGCGGCGGAGAGCGAGATTTTTCTTTGTTACAAAGAACCGAAACACTTCCAACATTTATCATTTAGTCCTTTTCACCCATTTTCATTGTGTGTTGATACTTCTGTTGATTCTTGTTTCCCACCCTTCAAACTGCGAAAAAACAAACGAAAAATACGACCAAAATGTTCGTGCTAATATGCATTACCGTACCAATGCACTTTCACAATTTGTTGTTTTGATAACATTAAAATCTGAAGACGAAAGAGTTGAATAGGCCTATGCATTTAGTACTTGTACTTACATGTATAACTCAAAATCCCCTTTAAGGTATGATTTTACATCGGGCTGGGAGCATTACAGAAAATGGTGAATTAAAAGAAATGTGTTGCTTATATTGCAACATGTCATTTTTGTATATGATGCATGTCCGTAAATGTGGATCAAATTTTTTTCGTGTCAACTTTCCATCTGATATAAGATTTTATATTTGAACATTTAGAAAATATTGTTCAATGTCTTCTATCTCCAAGAGTGAATATGCAAGCAAACTACCTGCCAAACAATTTTTTTAAAAATACTTAATTTCAATGATACACTGTAAAAATGGTGCTTAGGATTTAAACACATTTCTAAACACTTATTCTGTACCCACTTTTTCCACACGTTTAGCATCATGACATGTTTAGATGTCCTTTTTCTGTGACACGCATTATCCGTTTGACATGTTCAATGAATAATATGTTTAGCAATTAAACACCTTCCTAAGCGCATTTAGATATATACAATCCTAAGCACATGTCCAAAACGTAAACACGTTTAGTTTCACAACATTAAAAAGTGGTAAACGTTTAGAATTGAAACACATTCCTAAACGTTTTAAACTCTAAACACGTTCTGATGTGTTTAAATGCTAAACACTGTTTTTACAGTGTATTACACATGGCACACAGGTCGGTGTAACAGGGAAACAGAAATGTCACACTTTTAGACCCCACATTAATGGAATGATGCCTTTGGCAGTATATTCAAGATTCTGGAACTATGTAAATTCCATTCGTCTTCGCTCGTTTATTGGCCCATAATCGCCCATTCATTCCTTTCCAGGCAACTACAGATATGCAGAGCAGCAGTCTAATTTATCCAACTGCACGTGGTATCGTAACATGGCATGTTGCAGACGCACCGAAGTATCGTCCGTCTTCGGTAGTATGTTCAAGATCCACGGCGAGACACGACAATGTAAATCACGACTCAACTACATGATGTGTTACTTCTGCAGTCCGAGCCAAGTGGATTGGTATGACTCGTAAGTATTGCAGTCTGGATCCAGAAATACAATGACGGTTTCGTTTTTGAAAAGATATTTTCTTGGCACAACTATGCCCATTTGAAATTTGTGACGTCACAGGTGCAAGCAGACAAATCGCCAGATAAAAGTTCTGGATTACGCATTTCTCGAATTGTTACACCTCTACCGACAAAAAAAAAAATCACTTTTGGAGCGAAATTTTGAAATTTGATTCGAAATTTTGCAGTAAATTTTAGACGTACATTTTTTTTAAATTTACAAATTGCAACACTAAAAATCAATTTCAAACTCTGCCCTTGAGTGTCTTGTTTTGACAGAACGCGTCTTTTTGTGGCTACATGTGTTGGGCGGTTTTCCACTATATACCAAACCTCGCTTTGGTATTTGACAAAAAGCACTCACCTTTAGTGACATGTTCGGAGTTATACAAAATATACATGCAACGTGCGCTCAGGCATGGAAACGTGCCAGTAATGACCAACAAAACCTCACCGTAATTTCAAAATTATTTAGTGTATGCTAATACAAATTTGTTTTTTTCTTCCATCAAACTATTCAGTTTCAAACCTTCTTGTTGTTATCCTCAGAAAAGTCGTTATTTGCTCCGACTTCTGTGAAGAAACCTTTGAGATGTGCAAGGAAGCTCGGCTAGGGGACTCCTCCATCGGAGAGAAGTACGAATCGGGTCGACAGTTCTGCGAGGCCAATAATTTCGAGGTGGTTCCTGGAAGAGAGAGATGCTTCAGTTTTGACCCGACGGCTTTTGATTCAGCGATCACGGTCCAGCCAGGTATCGTTGGACTCCTAGCTTGTCTCTCTACTGCTTTACTGAGATTCTGATGGTCCAGTTTACGTTCTGTGCAAATGGGCTAACTTTCGTCAACAGTTAAAAAATTGACTCAGTTCTAAGGATCGGAAAATAACTGTCATATTTGCCGTAAAAGGAATGAAAATTAAGGCTTCCAAATTATTGATTCATAATAAACTAGAGCGTCTAGCGTCTGGTTTCTTCCATTTCAAATAATAACATTCACAAACTTTGGCATGTAAGGTGACCTAAAATTTGGCTTAATTATAATTATAATAATAATAATTACCGATAATGGGTCACTAGGGAGACATTCCCATAGACTTGTGCACAATGTTTTTAGGACCACGATCAATTTATCTATCCTATTTGCGACAACACAATTTTGCTTCTAAATAGGGCCAGATGCATTATGAAGACATTGAAATGTCTCCCTTATTCCACGTCTCCCAGAGGTATAACTTATTACTCTGAGGTGTCTTCCAAAGGTCATACTTGTGGTTGTAATGATAAGGGGTAATTATTAAGCACACGTATCCACCATTATTGGACTCGAGGTACTACACCATGATTACCCTGCTCATTGGGCCAATGAAACATTCCAAAACACCGTCTCGGCTCCCTGGGGAGTATACAGCTCCATGCTGCCATTTCGGCGCAAAGCAGCTATCAATCACAATAATTATCTCTGCCCACTCACAATTTACTCGTGGATAAGGACTCGCAATGAGCGACAAAGTGTCTTGCCCAAGGGCACACACACCATAACCATAATTAAGCAGACATCGTCATGTTTGTGTTGCATGGGCCTTATGCTCGAGTTGGCCATTTTTGTCGAGTGCCCTGAAAAAAGGCTGAATGTAGTTCATTAATTGTTAACTGTTGAATGGGATGGCGCCAGACTATTTGTGCAGGCATAATGCAGCCTTATTTTACTTTATTTTAATCTTGCTTTAAAAATTAGGGAATGTTTAATTACAAATTTAAGAAGCAGACTGGAATTAATTAGTTATTAAGTTGCTTTCATTTCTCTTCGGAAGTGCAAAAAAGTAAGATTTAACATCACTCCATAGAGCTGTATAATAAAGAATGCCTCACTCTCAATTCAATATGGCCGACTCATGCATAAGGCCCATACTATAGAATGGGGAATTTCGACCTACTTATTTTCATTACATTTAATCGTTAATATATATTAGTTTCAAGACCAAGCTACATTTATTGGTGATGATGTTTAAAACACAATACACTAAACGTGACCTAGATATTTTTTACCTCCCTTGTCGGTCATAAGTTACCATGTATGAAGCAATTACTGAAATACATGTACATGTACAATAATCTTGTTGTATTTCAGTTCATTGTTTCTGACTGGAAGTTAATATTTGAACTTTAACTAGTGCATGAATTTAATTACAGTAGGTGGAAATGATATTCAAACACAAGTATTAATTTGTAAAAGTACTAAACAAAATGACAAAGTCAGAAGTAATTCGTTTTAGGTTAAGTGGTCCGGCTCCACGCTGTAGTCTGATGGTTAGATTAATAATTAATTAATAATTTAATAGTAGCTTTATAATAAAAAAAAAAGCAGGGTACTTTTTATTGCTGTGCAATTTTTACTTATTTATTGTCGGAAACTTGCCCAGTTGTAGTTGTACAATACATTTATTGAAATGTGTTCGTCGCCAAAATGATTTGTTTTTAATACAAATATGAAATCGGTTGTGGATGATTTTAAGATACAGTATTAATGTTTTTGATATTACTATGTAAAATCATACAGATGTATGGTTAGCGACTTAATAGCAAAACTTCGGACAAAGAGAATCATCTTTAAAAAAACTTGTAAATCATGTGTATTGTAACTCGGGCCTGTAGTATTCCTTGCCAAATTCAGAGTTAACTATAGAAAGTTCATGTATGCAATACTTTATTAATTTGCATGTACAATTTGAATTCAGAATAATTAAAAGTGGTTGTTTAAATTAGTTCATTGACTGTCATTATGGGATATCGTGCAATGCCAAATATTAACTTGTATTCACATGCACCATAAGAAACATTCATTTGTAAGAAAAAGTTTGTGCTAACTTTATTGTGCAATAATTGAGTCATACTCTCACAGTTTGTCGTCAAGTTACATTTCAGCCGTAACTTTGACGGAGCATGTGGATTTGTATGCATAAACATTGGATTCTGCAGTACAATTAGGCCAGTTGTGATTTTAAAATGTCTTTGTATTTAGAGAAAAATATAACATAAAGTACAGAGAGTGAAGACCAGAATTGGTTTTATTGTGAAGTCATTCTCACTGTGTAGCAGATATTCCCGACATTATAAAAAGTTATAGATGATAATTATTTCCACAATTATCCTTTATTCTGTGCAGGGCTAGCGCTAGAAGAAATTTGTCGACTGCTTTAGTGATGAATTTAGGTCTAGTATGAAAAATTATGCATCGCTTTCCAACTAGAATCAAATGAATCCAGCAGTGTTGTGTCCCACCCCAGTGAATGTCTGTATATTTATTCAGCGAACCATTTATCTATCAAGATAAGGCCATAGACATAATAAAACCTAGACACGACGTTATCTGCTTTAACGTTGTAAATTCTGTGAGTAAAACGGGCTGCGTCACGCGGCTTAATTACGCGATGCGCGAATGTCATGCATATGGCCATAGATATAGAACTTAAGTTCTATATCTATGGCATATGGCTTCGATTTACGCGCATACTTCTTAGTTATACGCGCAGCATTTTGCTCACAGGCGCAATAGCAAATGTCGTGTCTAGGTTTTATTATATGTCTATGGATAATAGTGGGGGGGCCAATGTACTTCCGTTGGCATGTCATGTTAATTTATGGCAACCATTATAAATGTAATCTTATGAGTCCTGAGAACAAGAAAATTGATGTTGCCATTTTTTTCCATTGACCTTTAGTGACCTTGACCTGAGGTCAAAGTTCATGGGTCATTTTCACCTAAAATTTGCCTTTCGGAAGGGTTTGCGAAGATTTTCCAGGCAAGTGAGCACACATTGTATTTGGTTGAGAGTTTCTCCGTTATAATAAATGTTATTATTAATGTATTTATGGGTTTTCCTGAAGAAAACATGGGAAAATGTCACTTTTGCCCGAAAAGGGCTGGGTTGTTTTGACCATCTCACGCAGATTCCGCCCCCCCCCCCATGACCTCGGCCATCGAGTGACGAACAATTATGAAACTTGGTACATGCATAGAACAACATAACATGAACAAACCCAAGAAATTTCATGACTATGGGTTAAAGGGTTTTGGAATTACGGCTAATTAATTATTCATAAGCACGTATGGTAATTCAATTGTGTACACTACGTATATGGGGAAATTCAGTTTTGACGGAGGGTAGCGCCGAAAATATTTCGCTGCGCGGCAACCTGTGGTTCGAATTTTGTTTTTGGTATCAAAAGATGTGCAAGACTCGAGGCTAAAAAGTCAGGACAGCTCAGGCCGTGAAATAAATAATTGTTTTCAAGAGTATCGCGGAAAAAGTTGAAAGAGGGAAAATCCGCCCCCCCCCCCCCCCTTTTAGGGCCTAAATATGACCAACCCTTTAGTGCCTGGCATCTAAATATGAAATGTTGTAAAGTGTCCTCTGCAGTACCACACTCGCACAGGGTGTTTGTCGGTTGAGGAAAATCCCCACTTCTTTTGGTGCGAGCCACTCCAGAGCGGAGGTGATTTAAGCACCTCCAGGTCTTCCATCCTGCATTGGATCCTGCAGGTAAGGCTTCTGCAGGCTTGATTGGCATCTCATGTAGTGGGGGAGACGCCACCAGTCTGGTCAACCCAGGAGGCACACACTTGGGTCTTAATAGCAGGGTTGATCGCTTTCAGGTGACTCACAGTGAAGCACTGCTGTGACTGGTCAATAACATCGGTCAACGTCTTCCCTTGGGGGACCGTTCCTTTGAAGACGTACTCTACTCTGCCTTTGAATACTACAAAGAAACGATGGTTCTTCAATGGAACACCAATAAACTGGATAAGGGTCAGGTCTGCTGTCATGTCCAGGATCTTCTGAAGGAGTCAGCAACGGTTAACACTGTCAAAAGCAGCTGTAAGATCAACAAAGACAGCGCCGGTGATATATTTTTTCTGATGGAAGCGGTCCTTAATGTACTGAGTGAGGTTTAGAAGCTGTCCCGTTGTAGATTTGCCGGGACGGAAGCCTGCCTGCCTGTTCCTGTATCAGTTGTTTCTCAATGAAGAGGCAAGAAGGTTGAGGAGGAAATATTCCAGCAACTTGAATGTGTGACTTTGGGACGATAAGTTTTGACATGCATTGGGTCTTTTCCGGGTTTTAGGAGGGCGATGACCTTCGACTTTTGCCACACTTTAGGTATTGTTTGTGTGGCGAGGCAGGTGTTGATGAGCTGGAGTAACCAATTTGAGGCGTTTGGTCCAAGATGTTTCAGTTCTTTGGTGAAAATGTTATCCAGTTTGGTTGATTTCCTGTTCTTTATTTATGCCAGTCGCAAGTTCATTAGCAGAGAAGGATTTGATGAAGCCAATAAGGTCGATGGCGGGGTCTTTCTGGCGGAGCTTGGCTTTCGGTCGCTTATCAGGAGAACGTGGCACTTTACCATTTAAATAGCAGTTGTTGTGGGCTATTTGGTTGGCGGTGATGTTACAATGCTGTTCACTTGGCTGAGCTTTTTTTTATATTATACTCCAGGCTTGGAGGCCATATTGGCTTCTTGGCCATATTGGTGGTTACCACAGGGGTTTGCCACAAGCTTTGAAGCTGTTCTGATATGGCTGTTATTAATTCCTCCTCAGATGAGATGGTATCGACAGCAAGAGAGTCGTTTTCATACATGCGTCTCTATTTCCTGTAAAGTTCAGCACTACGGGATGCTGCTAGGCCTGGGATGTAATCAGTGCGGCAGCCCGTAGGGATGTTCTTGCACCACCACATCAACAAACCGGTGTCATAGTATTCAGGGGTTGGATCAATGTCAGCTAGATGGTGTTTGAGCTCATTGGTGAAGCCTTCACAGTTGGCCTTACTAAGTTGAAACAGCGGTGGAATGGAATTGTTGCAAAGAGACAGCAGCAGTCACTTTGATTCCAATAGGGCGATGTCGGGTCTTTGGAATGGGGTCAAGGACCATCTTGTTGCTAAGTGAGGCGATGTTGGAGCTCACAAGGGCTAGAGCAGGGTTGAAACTTTATCTCCAGCCGCCACTATGGAAAAACTTCGACAGTTTCGCATTGTGCATGCATGCAACTGTAAACTCAACAAAAAAGAGGAAATTCCTAAATTCAGAAGACTTTGTACAGTGATTTTCAATTTTGAATGGCAGAAATGAGAATAAAAAAAGAGGAAATCAGCTGATCCGAGGAAAAGTTGCATGCCTGATTGTGAATAAGGCTCAGTTGACTTGCTTCGGCCAGCGATTCAAAAGCGTCGACGTCTGTGCTGGAATGATAGCCAATGATGCTGCTGTGGCTATTAAATCGCCGATAATTATGCGTGGCTTGGGCTGTTTTGTAGATTGTGGCGGTGGCATTAGGATGGAAGACCTGGAGGTGCTTAAATCACCTCCGCTCTGGAGTGGCTCGCACCAAAAGCACCATGAAGAAGTGGGGATTTTCCTCAACCGACAAACACCCTGTGTGAATGCGGTACTGCAGAGGACACTTTACAACATTTCATATTAAGATGCCAGGCCCTAAAGGGTTGGTCATATTTTGGCCCTAAAAGGGGGCAGATTTCCCCCCCCCCCCTTTCAACTTTTTCAGCAATACTCTTGAAAAGTTATTTATTTCGCGGCCTGAGCTGTCCTGACTTTTTAGCCTCGAGTCTTGCACATCTTTTGATACCAAAAACATAAAAATCGAAACACAGGTTGCCGCGCAGCGAAATATTTTCGGCGCTACCCTCCGTCAAAACTGAATTTCCCCATATACGTAGTGTACACATTTGAATTACCATATGTGCTTATGAATAATTAATTGGCCGTAATTCCAAAACCCTTTGACCCATAGTCATGAAATTTCTTGGGTTTGTTCATGTTAAGTTGTTCTATGCATGTACCAAGTTTCATAATTTTTCGTCACTCGATGGCCGAGGTCATGGGGGGGGGCGGAATCTGCGTGAGATGGTCAAAACAACCCAGCCCTTTTCGGGCAAAAGTGACATTTTCCCATGTTTTCTTCAGGAAAACCCATAAATACATTAATAATAACATTTATTATTATGGAGAAACTCTCAACCAAATACAATATGTGCTCACTTGCCTCGAAAATCTTCGCAAACCCTTCCGAAAGGCAAATTTTAGGTGAAAATGACCCATGAACTTTGACCTCAGGTCAAGGTCACTAAAGGTCAATGGAAAAAATGGCAACATCAATTTTCTTGTTCTCAGGACTCATAAGATTACATTTATAATGGTTGCCATAAATTAACATGACATGCCAACGGAAGTACATTGGCCCCCCCACTAGCAGGTGAAAGTTGCGTTTTTTACATATTGCTGATACTTGATCGCTCATGGATAGATGGCAGTCGAGGATTACACCTAGATTTCTGCACTTGGAGGATGACTGAATTACAGTTTCACCAATGACGATGCGGTAATACTGTGAGTAATCGTTTTGGCTGACAAAGTGTGCAATTGAGAGTTTTTTGGTGGGGTATGCCTGAGATCAAAATCACTTGTGAAATGCGATCAAAACCTCGGTTTGCTCCATAATTATACTCCCCCGATCAGTCTGCACTATTTTGGAGCTATACGGCACTATTTTGGAGCTATTTTACGGCGGGAAAAAGACTGTTAATAGTAGTAGTAGAAACATTTATTCAATGTTGCCATTTCCACACAATAAAATGTTACAATGCCGTGTAAACATTATTATACAGAATAAAATGCAATGAATTATGTAATTGTGTATTTACGCTTACTTGAACAGAATGCTCGTAAAATGAGGATTTTGTTTTAAAATTAATATTTAATTATGGTTTTCCCAGTTACTTCAACAATTGTATAATATAGCATTCCTTGGAAAGATACTTTAATGTCGTTCCAGAACGTCGTTGGGCTCCATTGTTTATTCCGAATTCGAATGTAATTCCTATTATGTCTCCAGTGTAATTCGCAAATATAATATAAAGCATTCAGATTCGTCCACGTTTCGGGAAATTCGTCTAATGTGGAGATAGGTGTTGAATTAAAAAAACATGCTTTATTATTTTTTTAATTTGTTATTCGTAGTTTCGTTTCCTTTCGTTTCCTTTCGTTTCCTTTCGTACTTTCGTTTCGTTTCGTTTAGGTATATGTTCTGATACCTTTATATTTGCGGGCCGCGTTCCTGTACTTCTGTCAGAAGTCAGCACAGTTAATCAAAAGACATCGTCGGCAATGTTTTTTTTTAGTTTTTTTTATTTTCGTCTTTAAATCTCTTCGTACATTTCTGTTACTGAATATATTGTAGTAAATTTTGTAATAAATTGTGTGTAGGGCCTACCTATATTTCCTATGAATCCCAAGTAAAATTAATGCAATAAATTAATGCAAAATTATATTGAGCATTATTTTCTCTC